ACTCACAAGGGTGTTTGCTATCAGCTTATTTGGCAAAAGGAATCTGAGACATTTTAAATATGAACTGTCGGCAGGGCCCATCCCATCCCACTCCCCTTTTGCCCCACCAAGAATCACCTTCATGGGTGTGTGACACAAAATGTAGAAAATGGACACAAACTATCTCAAACAAGCTGGTAGCGCTTTAGAATCTGGAGAATTCACCTCTGGAGGGTCTTTGCTGTTCTCCTGATACTTTTGTGAATGAAACTCCCATAGTAGCAAGTGTTTTGCAAACGCCTTGGACAGTCTGGCTCCAAATCCCCTCCCCTTCCCTCTCCTGATCTCTCAACTGAATGTTCCATTCCTTGTACTCCGGGCTAAGAAGAAAACATGCATGCAACCTCTCCTTACTTCCAAATGCCAAATCAGGCTCTTTCTTACCTCCACATGTTTTTCTTGCAAAACCTTCTGCTTCCTTCTCTGCCTGGCAATCTCCTCTTCATCCTTAATCCCCAGGTCTTGCAGGACCTCCTAGGTGCACCCTTCCCTGTGTGCTGCTCTGTTCTCAGTGTTTCCAGAGTACAAGGGGTGTCTCTCTATGATAATGTTTAGATAGTTGTGGCTAGAAAACATCTGTCTGGCCGCCAGGCCACAAACTCCTGGGAGTCAAGAGATTGGTTCTTACTCACTTTTGCATCCCAAGGAGCAAGCCGTGGGCCTGGCCCTGGGAAGTCCCATTATGGATGCTGGGCCATCACCGCCTTCTTCCCCAGTCTTTAATTGATCTTTACCCCCACCATATACCATAAAACAGGATGGTGCTAACTCAACACTGTCAAGGTCAAAGTACAGACTCCTCGCTGCTACACCCAAGTTTTATTGGGCCTGATAAACAGCAAGGTGTGGGCCCTGCTAACACCTTAGCCATCCTGCTCAGGGTCAGAGAGACAAGTGGAAGGCAGGGTACCTGATATCAGGAGGCAGTGTCACCTGGGGAAGGCACCATATGCTGCAATCAGACTTGGCTTCCATCTCCCTCCAGTCGTAAATGGCCTGCTTTATGGGTCGGTTTAAATCACTCCTCTGGACCTCAGATGCTCAATATACAAACATGAAGATGGGACAAGGTCCTCTATCATTTCTTTCCAGATTCAATATTCTCCATCCGTCTGTCTCAGTGATGGACCCACTTCCCTGGCCCCTCTCCTTTCTGTGTTTAGTCGTCTGTCTCTCACTGAGCAGCCTTCTACCAATGCTCCTTCCTTTATTGCTCCGGAGTCTCTGGCCACCCCTGACCAGGCCACATGGGGCCATATTCTTAAGACTATATTCACTACCCTCTGGTCAACAGAGCCTAGGAACTTTGGGGCACTAAGAACTTGGGTATCCCAACACCCCATAATCCCATTGCCTTTTAGATCAATCCAGCTCTCCTCTTGAGGCCTCCAACACTCTTACACATTAGATGAGCTCCCATGCTGCTTGGCGGGAGTCAAGGACACCAATAGGCTGTTGTTACCTGTGCATGGTGGGGGGCTTGGTTGCAGAGCTTCACAGGCCAGGGGGACAGTGCTAACCGAAGCAAGCTCTTCAAGAAGAGAACCTGAGAGCAGGCAGTGCCAATCACAAGGACAAACTTAGAGCCCACACTAAGGACCAGAGGAGTCCAGGAGGCTCCTTTAATGTGCTACTCAGCCTCCCAGGCCTCCCTTATCTGCTTACGGAGAGATCTACGGCCACCCAGCTAAGCCGTGAACAGTGCACACTAGAACATCAATCTTTGGGTCTCCGTTCACTCTTTTTTCCACTCAACTCAGTTGACCTTAAGTGTCTAATGAGGTCAGGAGATGCCCTGCAGACTCTAAGAAACATGACCCTCGTGTCACTTAGGGAAAGAGCGGGCCCAGGAGATGTTATCCTGACCGCCTCCCCAGCTGGTGCATTCCTTCCTGGCTTGACATGGTCTTTCTGTTCTCTCTCCAGACCTTGCCACAAAATCTGTGAAAGTTCAGAGGTCAGTGAGAAGGGAAAGGCGGGTCTCCCTGTCCTTAGAGCACCCTAAATAGGTGAGAGAACCCCCAGCCGCCCCTCCCTCAGACTAGAGAAAGTTGATGGGGGAAGGGTGTCAGGAGAAGATTGAACGACCCACTGGAAGTCTGACCTGTTTAGGCTGAGGTGCATCTGAGGCCATCCGAAGGTTTATGACAATTAACACAATAACATCTGCCTGTCAGGCTCGATCTGGTCAAAGACTTATGTCTGTCAGATCATCTCTGCATCAGGAGGAGGAAGTTCCTGACTCAGGAATAGTAAAAGACTCAAGGAATTAATTATTCAGTGTGCATGACCCAGTTCAAGGAGTTGAGGCTGGGTGAGAACAGAGCTCACTAGTCCTTTATCCATGGAGAGAAACTCAAATACTTCACGGGGCAGTGATCTCCTTGCTGCTAAAGAAGATCCATTTATGATTAAGAGGCCCAAACAAACAACAAAAAATGTTCATTCACTCAACAAATTCTTAGTGAGCAACTCTTATGTCTCAGTCCTCCAGGGTCTTGCATATGGTTTAGTAGAGGAGAGAGACTATGGAATTTTCAAACAGGAGGCCTGAGCTCAGCCCTTGAAAAGCTATATTATCTTAGGTGGGTTCCAGCCTGTCTATGACAAATTCCTCATCTAGAAAATGGGAGTATATCCACCTGCCTGATCATGAAGATGCAATGATCTTTATAAAATGTGAAGCACAGCGTAAATATGAGGTATAAACAATAATGATATAACATGACACACTTTCTCTGCCCTAGAGAAGTATATAATCTGGTCATGTTTTGGAAAACAAGCCAAGGTACCTATTTGGCAAACATTCTCTGTAATTTGGGCAGATTATATGTTTCAACTTGCCAATGGAGACAGAATCGGTGGTCAGTGCCAATCTCCAGTCCGTGTGCCCAAGACATTGCAAGAAGGGCTGGAGTGAACACCGGGACTCACCAGGCCCTGTGTCAAGTTCCACTGAATGAATGAGCCAGGTTGAGATCCAAGGGGGGAAGACAACAACCGGTCACGTGGTCAATCAGAAACACAACCCAGAATTCATCTGCACACAATAGAAGTGAGCCAGCCAGAACCGCACACACGTCCTCCCCACGCACATTTCAGACAACACTGGAATTCACTGTTCACTGCTCGCCTCCTCTGTGGACGCCCCCGGCATGCAGCTTCTGCAGGGAAGGGGAGGGATTCTCAGGCTGCTGCAGACTGGCCAATCTGGGCCTCTTTGCCTGGGTCTTTCCCAGGCACTAAGAATCAGAACTGAGCAGCTTTCCCTGGGTCCAGTCAACCCCTTTTCATCCTGTCCTCCGGTAGGTTCTTGGCATCCACCAGTCAGCTCTGATTGCACAGACATGCTCCCAGCTGACCTCAGGACCCTAGCCTTAGATTGGGCCCTCAGGTCTTCCCCTCTCCTCCTGCACCAAACAACTCTTGCCCCAGGCTCACAGTGGGGGGACCTCCTGGGGCAAGGGCCAATTGTCTTCATCTCTGTGTCCCCTCCAGCTCAGAATGTTCTTTAAGCACTTTGCCCTACATGTAGAAATGCCCTCGAATGGCTGCATACAGGAGGCAGGCAGAAGAGGAGTGAGGAGGGTGCTGGAAGCCCAGGGCCTGTATTCTGACACTCCACTTGACACCAGATAGCTCTGCAACCTTGAGAAAGTCTGTTTAGGCAAAGCCTCAATTTCCCTATTTGATAATGAGGGGTTTGCTCTAAATAACCTCTCTAATAAAGTTTTGCATTATAGAAACCAGACTAGCCCAGTACACGGAGGACGTGAGACCTGGTCCACAATAGCCTACAATCTGAGGCAAGTTGTCAGGCCTCTCAATGCTCATTCTACACGTCAATCAAATAAGGGAGGCTAAGGCAACCACCTCTCCCAGGGTTCAAGGCTCTGTCAAGACAGTTACTGTGACAGAGCTTCATCTATGCTCTATTCAGAGCTGGCTGGTGGTTGCCAAAAGTTAGGTCAGGCTGAAAGTCCTGAACTAACTCAGGGTTCAGACTCCTTGGATCAACAGAATAGCTGTTGCATGTGCTGGGGTCTGTGCCTGTGGGGAGGGGCTCCTGCCTCAGATAGGAAGGTTGAGGATGGCTTCCTGCCCAAAGGCCCCTTCAGCTAGCGGGTAAGACTGAGAGTAAAGGTTCCTTACTTCAGTGGTATATCTGAGGGACAAAGCACTCTGGCAGTGCTGAGGAGGAGGCGCCAACCTGGCCTGGGGAGGGAGGGAAGCTCCTCAGAGGAACAGCACGTCCCAGACATGGCAAGCTATTCCAGGATGGTGGGGCTGGAGCCAGGACAGAGAGGAGAGGCAGAAAAGGAGGCAGAACAGTGAGCCTGAGGTCCAGCTGGCGGGGCCACAGGAGAGATGGTCAGATGTGTCTCTGAGAGCGTCTCTGGCTGAACTACAGAGTGCAGCACAGAGGGAAGAGCACGTGGAGCCGGGAGGGCAGCAGGAAGGCCCTTCCAGACACCAGAAGCCATAGAAATCTATAAACAGGTCTGTTCTCAGAGTGGAGCTCATGTGGATAAAGATGCTGTGAATGTGGACTTGTACTCCAGGATGCTCGGAGTCATTCCCTAGAGGCCACCTGGCCAATGCCTCTCTTGCCCAGACCTGGGCAGATAAGCCCCCTCAGAGAGCTTGCCTGGGGTCTGAAGGGCCGCACTGCTGGCGTTGGTTCTGGGAGGCCCAGCCACACATTGCCCAGTTAGATGGGTCTCTCACCTCCTGAAACGAATGTCAGCCTCAGCCTGCCCACTCTGACAGCTGGGGAGGATGTGCAGCCCTGGAGTCTTGGACCAGGACAAAGGGCTGAGGAGGTATCCAAGGTTTCACCACGCTTCTTCAGTGGGTCACATGACTTGAAGAGAATTTGAGAGCTCCCATACTTCCCTAAGCCTGAAACTAGATCCCCCAGGAGCTACTCAATGTGTAAGAGAGACCCCACTGTGACTTACTTGGTTCTCAGGCATCACAAGGGCTAAAGACTTCTCCTTTGGGGGCAAGCCCCATACAGGTTGCCATGTTCCTTTAAAAAAAAAAAAGAACCCAACAATTAATGTCAGCCTCGTGATCTGACATCATAGCCTCCTATCTTCTCCCCTTCAAGAGTTTGCACAAGGCTCTGATCATAGCTGAGTTTCCTAATAAATTATAATTTTGTGCATTTTTTTTCTCTTAGCAACACTTTAGCCAGCAAGAGGAAATGGACAGATAACCTCTGTCTGTGCCCCAGGTTTGGCATGTGAAGAAAGACTGCGAAGCAGGTCCTACCATCTGCCTGTTGGCTGTGCACCCTAAGGCCTTACCCTATGTCTAAACAAAGACTCTGCTTAAATAAAAACAGAGAGTGCCAGGATTTCTAAGGTTGAGACAGAATGGAAGTAAATAAAACTGGTGCAAAACTTGATCACAGGTCACCAATGTGAAAAGTGTCACATTGCCTCTAGTGGAAAGGTCCAAAATGCTCAAAACCTAGGAAGCTACAGAAGTGGGCCATCTGATCATGACTGTATTCTTTTGGCTTATAGGGGCTACCCACGTTACTTGGTTACCGCCTACTGCTGTTGCAAAAAATGTCTCTACACCTATTTGGAAAAGGGGGCCCAGAGTTACAAAATATTTCTAATGATTTACATTCACATTAAAAAAATAATAAAATCCTAATGTCTAAGAGGAAGACTCAAGAGAACAAAACCTAATACAGATGTGAAATTTGAGCTTTAAAAGGGGCAATATCCACACTCTGGGGAAGCACACACACTTTGCTCAGAGAGCAGCTGGGCTGCTTATCCACTACACACACACACACACACACACACACACACACACATACTCTCTCTCTCTCTCTCTCTCTCTCTCACACACACACACACACACACACACAGCCATGTGAGAGTCCCAAACCTCCAGACCTTTAATGGGACAGAACCCACTATTTGCTGAGCACTGGTCATGCATGGAATCCACACCGCTAGGCCTAGACGTGCATTATCTCAGTGGTTCCTCACAGACAAGGAACAGAGGCCTAAGGAGTGATGGTCCTTGCCAAGGTCACCCAGCATGGCAGGATTTGCACCCAGGCCTGACTGACACAGGGCTCAGGGTTCTTGCCCCCATACTGAGGTGTCCTGGCTGTGAATGCCTAGTGCTACTGTGAGCCTGGTGAGCTCCCAGAGCAGTCACCCGGGCAGGAGCTACAGTCCTGCCCACCATCATCACCATTACCAAGCCCACACCCCTCGGGGCCTGTGCCGGTGGACGAACAGGCTGGCCTGCCTTGGCCACATTCTATCAGCATGAGCTATAGGCTCCGTGCTGTTGTCTCAAGCCACAAGTCAGAGCGGCTGGAGGCCTTAACTTATCTGTCCCTGCTTCTCACAGAAGACTCCAGGAGCTGTGAGTGGCAGAGCTGGACACCGTGATACAGAATTCAAGAAACTAGTGATGGCCTCCTGCTCCCTAGATCTCAGGGAGAGAGTTCCTGAGTACCCTGTGATATTATTGAGGCCAGCTGGGAGACAAGAAGCTCTCTAAGGTTGGGTTGTCTTCCTGATGGAATGAAAGTGGGCACATCCGGGCCAGGTCACAGGGCTGACCATTGGTTGGATTCCTACAAAGGCCTGAACACACTGATCCAGACATTAAGGGGCCAACTAACACACACCCTCTATGGACCAATAGCCCAACATGCTTTGCACCCCCTGAAACTGCACTAAACCAGACAGTCCCAGCGCCCGGCACTTCCTAGGGCCTATCTCTTTATCTATGAGTAGCTAGACATAATTGGTGATTTCCTCACCAAGGACCCCTTTCAGCTGTCCCATTCCATGGATCCATGGATCCTGACTTCTAGAGACACCTACAGAACTACCTAGTGGTTAAAGGCTGTGGGGGAGTCACCTGTGCTGGCTTTGACCTTGCGCTGCCTCAGCGAATCCTCCCAGCAACCCTGGCAGGAGGTGGGGTAGTAGTCCAGAAGAGGACACTGAGGCGTGGCCCACAGTCCTCACCAGCACCGGCCACAGCAGCCCTGGGACTCGGGGGAGCTCTCCTGAGCCCACCCCATGCTTGTTCCTGACCCAGAGCCTCCTTCCGTCATCAATGAGAATGGAGAAAACCTGTCTCCCGTGGCTTGCTATCATGACAGATCTAAGCCAAGAGGCATGAGGTCTCCAGTCCCTTGTGGGCCTGTTTTGATCCTGAAAAGACTTCCCGTGAATCTAAGTGTCCTCAAGGTCCCAAGGAACATGAGAATCCCAAGGAAGGGAAGCTCAGGGAATCCTTCGTCTCTGACATTCTCCCCACCTAACTGCATAGAGGCAGGGGCTTCCCTGAGGCACTCCAAGCACTTAGGCAGGGCCTGGCACACCCTGGGAAGTCAATGAATCTTTTTTGAATAAAGAAATGAATGAATCCTGAGATTTGATGCACTGAAGACTTATTCAAGAATCATTTGGTGTAGTTCATGAGAGACACACCAAGAGCAGCACAATCCGGCTTCCCCAATGGAAGACAAAGGCTTGGTGGCAGTTAAGTGGCCCTGAGCAATTCACATAATCTCTGTAAACCTCAGGTTCTTATCTAAAACTGGAAATGATGTTGGTACCTACTTCATGGAGATATTCTAAAGATTAAATGAGATAATGCTGTAAAGGACTTAGCCCAGCTCATGTTCACAGCAAGTATTGAGAGGTGACATCAGTTCTTACTGTCTACATCAGAGTGCGTGGTTTAGAGCACACCTGTGTTGGGCATAGTAGTGAACACCTGTAATCCCAGTGACTCAAGAGGCTAAAGCAGGAGGATCACAAGTTTGAGGCCAGCCTTCACAACTTAACAAGACCCTGCCTCAAAAAATTAAAAGGGCTGGGGATGTAGCTCAATGCTAATGCACCCCTGGGTTCCATCTCCAGTACCACAAAATGAACAAACAAACAAAAAGAGCACATTTGGAGCCCTCTGCCTCGGTTCAATCCCAGCCCTCCTCCTCGTTAAGTCACCTTGGGTAAACTGCTTCACCTCTCTGTGCCTTAGTCTCCTGGTGTGTAAAATGGGGGCAACTATGAAGATCAAATGAGTTTTGCAGGTAAAGAGGTTAGAATAATGGCTGGCAGAAAGTAATTTCTCTATAAAAGCGAGTTTGTATTTTTGTTCTTTTCTTCTATTGATACAATCCCCCGCATCTCCCACTCAGCAAAAAAGATGGATCCAGGACTCAAAGTAGGTCCTGAGAGTATCCTTTCTCCTTGGTATGGCCCTGATACAAAGGGTGTGTGTGTGCTCCAATCTGAAGAGTCCTGGGTTTGCCTGGTCCTCTTGAGCCGGGTGGGGGGCTGTGTGGGGTCAGCGGGGAGTTGCCTATGGCTGTGCACCACCCAGCAGGGTCTCTGTCAGGGAGGCTGAGATCATCTGTTCTCTTCTTGGGGCTGGACTCTTCAGTGTGCTCTTGACTCTTCGAGCTCCCCTGAAGCCTTCTAACTTTTACATAAAATCATTTACTCTTGGCTCCTGTCCCTTGAAACCAGGAATCCCGACTAACAACAGCACGGCTATGTCACCACCAAATCCCACCAAGGGGAAAAGCCAGCTGTCCACCCCCAGAGAGACCCAGGCAGCCAGGGCCGAGCAAACATGGACAGTGAGGTGGCTGCAAACTGGAGCAGGGGAGGCTGCTGCCAGCCCCTGGACCCTGCCCTCCCTGCGGGCACCTCATGCTGAAACCAAAAAGCAGCAGCCTGGTCCTGTGGTCCCTGGTGGGGACCTGGGCTCCTTTGCCATGAATGTTAGCAAAGAAGAAGAGGAAAAAGAAGAAAGCTGGAGCTGATTCTCATTGACTTCAAAGTGGTGCAGAAAAGTTATTGAATACAACTCTCTCTAAAGGAAGATTACGGGAGAAAAGATGGAGGAAGGGGAAGGGAGAGCAACTGCTCTTAGGAGGGCTTCAGTGTCCCAGGTGCTGGGGATCAGGCTCTTTGTATGATCTCATCCAGCCTCAGCACAACATGCAGACCTGGGTGATCATTCGGCCCATTCTCAGTTGAAGAAATTGAGGCTCAGAGAAATAAATAACTAATTGGCAACATCACGCTGCTAATGCCTCACGCCCCTTCTTCCCAAAGCACTGGCTTCACTTTGTCCCCAGACAGAGCCTGGGGTCTCCTCCTCATGTGGTCATTTCTGCTGTCATGGGGGATGGTGATGTCCTGCTGCTCCCTCACCCCTGACCGCCCATCAGAGGAAGGGGCTGCCTGAGGGCAGACAGGACAGGAACATCCCTGGGCAGGTTTCCTCCTCTGGACCTCATTCTGTTTAATCTCACAGAGCTCCATTGTGACATTAATGAGAAGGCATCTGTTGGTGAGTTTTAGCCAGGATGTGCCCATTGGAATCCCATGGGGAGTTTGGATTTTCTGTCACCTGACCCAAGAGACACTGACCTCACAGGTAGGACTGCAGTCTTTGTCACATCACACTGTGCTGAACATGGTTCTCTCTGCTTGATCTCATTGCCTTGCCACCGTCTAGGTCAGGGCCACAGGTAACCTATTTCTGAATACCCAAGCCTTCTAATGTTTGTTAGAAGACAGGAAAAGAAATCCCACCTTCAGATGTATTTTTAAAAGGCTTTAGAAAAAAAATAGAATCCTGGCCTGGTAGCAAAAACTAAGAAGCCGACCCCACTGACCCCCCACCCTGCTGTAGCATCCACCACGAGGTGAGCGCACACAGCCTCTCCCAGGCCCCACACAGCCCTGTACCACCATCTGCACCAGTAACCCAGGCAACCTGTGAGCAAGGCCTCCCAGACAGGCTTCAGCTGGCTCAAAAGGGGGACACTGCCAGCTTCCAGCATCTGCAGGAGAACTAAACTGGAGGCCATGATCTGGAATGATGTAGAAATCCTCCTGACCACAATAGTGTCAAGAGGAGCAGCTCTTGGCAGGGCTGGGTTGTGCCTGTTGGTGTGGGGATTGTCAGAAAGCATTTCGAGAGGGCCTTGTCTGCTGCCCCCACAGGACACACCCC